TCAGGGAAACTGGATAAAACCTTATGGAGATGGGGGTCATTGCCCCATTGTTCTTCCTGTATTTCCCCCTACAATTACAACAATTATAGAGGTCACTATATGACCAACTGCTCAAAAAGCGACCCCAAAAAAGTCTCAATGGGCATCACCGACAGGGAGTCGATTCCTTCTCGTTGAGGGCGATATGGGATACGAGGCGCACACATAGCGAACTCACCGGAATCTTGTCCACTCTTCTCGCCAGCGCCACCACGGTGACGCCGGCGTCCTGCAGCTGGTAGGCGATGGCGGCGCCGATGCCCGCGCTGGCGCCCGTCACCACGGCGACACGTCCGCGCCAACGCTCCATGGTGAAGTGAGCGCTTCCCGTGCCGCCGTCGCGGCGTGCCGCTGGCCCGCTGACCGCGCTCGCGGCGGTGAGTGGTGGTGGTGGGGGGAGAGGAGCGGGCGGATGAGGCGGCGCGGGCGGTGCTCCTGACCCGATTTCCGCCTCTTAGTTTCCCCGTCCGGTTTTCGAGAATTCGGTTCTTGTTGCTCTCGCTGCCTCACGCGGCCTCGTTTTCTTTTTTTAGTCGAGCGGAGCGACTGCTTTTGTTCCGGTCGTGTGTGAGTGAAGGTCAGGACTAATTGGGTGCAGCGTTGCTGTCGGGTTCACTTTCTAGTCGTTCGTCCGTCTCCCGGGTGTATAATGTGCAGCAGAGGAGAAACCTACCACTGGCGATGGTGTGACGCTTAGCGCTACCAGGACTGTAATACCCAAGCTCGCGGGTTGAAACCGATCGAAGCCGTGGATTTTAGGGCGACAGAATCCCTCGTTCGCTTCCTTCGGAGGGAAGTAATGCCGGCTGTCCCATGTTCGAGGATTTACTTGCATGTAAAAGACCCTTAAGCCTATATGACGCCTCTGAGCTAAATTTCCAAATCGCCTGTTTCTCGCCCAAGAAATACCTCCTTTCTCTGCTAGTTGAAAGGAGCGTAGCGAAATTTGCGTGGTCAGACGGAAGAGCGGGCCAGATGGCCCGAGTCTCGCCACGTAAAATTCAATTCAATTTTTAAAAAAAACATGGCGTAGAACGAGAGTATTAATAAGGCAAAAAAGGAATCGTTATTTTTAGGCTCGGAATGATGCCTTCAGGTAGAATGCTTCCAAAATAATAGTATTGCATTATCCCACGCTGATTATCTCTAATGACGAAATAAAATTATCATAGGTAATGTCACAAGTTCTTCGGAAATTGTAGATAAATTCCTGACTCGCGAAGCGAAGAGGCGATTTATCAGAGAATTTCCAAAGCACGAGTGGTGTTTAATAGGACTATTCCACGAGTGAAATTATGTTCAACAGAGTTCCAAATATTGAAAATAACAGAAAGCGTATGTTAAAATTAGAGGTTATGTTTTAGTAAATACGCTGTTTATTGAACATCGACATAGCGATCGATTTATAACGCCTCCTAAGATAATTCACAGTTGATGATTGGCCAGTAGGTAGAAGTGGTAAGAAGAATCTGATACAAAAAGCGATGAACTATGTTGATATGTACCGCCTTAATTTTCCTCCACTCCCAGCTACCTATCGGCTACCCATCGGCGCCTAAAAGATAATTTTTGAAATTTGCTGATTTGTTCGGCCCCCTAATAGTATTCCCCTTATGCAATTGAAAAAGTTGAATCATATTGAAAAAGTTGCCTTAAAAATGCAATAATGTATAAAAATGCTCATAATGTATATGTTAACTTAGAGAGATTTTACAAAACAATACATGTGTGTAGTTTCAAAAAATAAAAACAATACATCAAAATGACGTTTGTGTAATGAACGTACTTCAGAGCATTTAGCTGTACACAAACCTTCAAGAAAAACGTTGAAGATGTTTCTGAGAATGTGACGTTCGAATGTTTCTGAAAATGCGCAATTTTGAGGCTTTTTCATAGGAAGCTTTTGAGTGTTTGAGAAACTTGATAAGAAATAATTTGAAGCAAAGCTTCAAATGCATTATTGAAAAAAAAACGGTCGTAATACTAACAATGTCAGAGATATATAAAAAAACGTATTAGTGTAACTTTTGAAAAATCAAAAGAAAATATAAAATTAGCTTTTATGTCATATTACTCAAAGCATTTAGCATTATCGGTGCAATAATATAATTTTAAATATTTTAACCACAAAATAATGTTTTTCAATTGTCTTTATTTTTTGCAAAATTACACGAAAACTACTCCTATTTTGAAAAATATTATACACAGCTACATTTAAAGACATAATTGTGGAGAACAAATTTCATTCAATTTTCAATATTGTGATGATAAGACGCCGACTAAATTTTAAGCTTTTACAATTTTTCAATATTCAGAACTATCACCTTTTCTAAGCCAACTTTGCCCTACCTGATAAAAATAACACCGGTCTGGGTAATTTTTTATGTCCGTTATATTTCATTTGCCTCTTTAAGCGTTTTCCCACCGATTTCAAATCTGCAATCGGTATTTCCGCATCAGCTCCAGAATTTTTTCCCCTACAAGCCTATATATGTGTTTGGCATTTGTGGTCTTTGTTAGATGTTAGTGCTGATACGAAATATTTATTTCCTTTAGCAAAATTTCTATAATTACTTCAGTATAGAACAGTACATCAAAGATAACTAAATCCCATGTATAGAAAACATGAATAGAAAAACATGAATAGAAAATGTAAAAATGACCCAAATATGTTTTGCTACATTTGCAATGAAGTGATATTGCCAGGTCAAAGATCAAACATTACGAGTACAGAATTTGTGAATGCTAGCTGCTACTTTATTTTGATGGAGAGATCAGGACAAGACTTTTGCTTCACAACTATGGTGTCGAACATGTGTTAAGTAGACTTAGACGATGGAACAAAGGAATCGTAAAGGCAATTACTTTTAGTATACGTATGGTGTGGAGGGAAGGAAAGAATTATTTAATACATTGTTACTTTTGCACGACGAAATTAAAAGGTAATTAATGTCTAGAGACTTTATTTTATAGTTCAGAGTTAGATGGGTATCAAGGTCTCCTGGAAATCAGTACGATGGCTGACTTTTGTTGGCGTCTGCAAAGAGATGAATCTGGAGCCATACATATATAAAAGGCGCGTAAGTAACCATTTCTATAAAGTAAATTGTCTTTTGTAAAAAAAATTAAAATATAATAAAGTAAAGGTTAAATTGCTACATTTATTTCAAACATTCACTTTTATTACTCAGGAGGGACGAATGCAAAAAAAGACTTAAGAGGGTACCATTTTTGTCCCCAATATTCATGTTTGTTTTTTAAATATAATTTTATTTTAACAGAGTTTGCGCTGAAACTATCTTGTTTAGTTCACTTAATGGTTACCTTCACATAATCTGCTGTTTGTTTTCATGTCTGTTATCAAGTTATTGATCCTCTATAAACATATAATGTCGTAATGGTAACATTAGTATGTGTAGTAGTCATAGAATCCATAGCACAAAAATTAGACGTAATTGAGGAAAACTAATTTCATTTTCAAGTTCAGCGATGTCAATTCCCACAAAAAACCGTTGAAAAATTTAAACACCATAAACTTTTATTAAACATGCAGTCCAGTGCAATTAATCCACAAAATTAAAGTAATTTTTCAGAAATAAAAATGAAATTACCTTGTGACTTAATGTAAAGTACCCCCCAAAATTAAATTATCCATTTGAAATTCAAAGCGCCGCAACATCAGACACATTGCTCCTTTAACATCAATTTTGATGAAAATCTTGCGTTGTTTATAGGCATTAGGTTATAGGCTTACCGATAGACATGGGACGGACGGATATTTTACCGTATACCAATTTTCCGATACCAAGGTATCATCAAACGTGAATTCTGGTTACAGAACGTATAAGAGGAAGTAATTTACTACATATAAGAGCAAGAATTATCTACTTTTTCGGTATCAGAAACATAAAAATCGGCTGAGAAACCTCCTTTTCTTTGCTGCAGCATTACTTAACTTTCTCTATACTACATATGTAGTATTCGAGAAAATAATAATGTAACCCATTTTCAATTTTGCAATATATTGTGAAGTTAAATACGCACCACTTCTGAACCTGATTCACTTCTTTAAATGAGGAGATCCATAATAAAATGCAACATTTCCACTTTGCACGTTTTTTTAATTTTTTCTGTCATAACCTCTTCTTATAATTTAAATCTACCTTTGTCACATAAAACTTGACTAAGTTCATTAATTTCTTTGTTCTATGTCAAATGAATAGAATTGATCTTAAGTTAAAAATAAACATTAAAATTAGTTTTTAAAGGCTGAAATAAGTAACATATTGTCGTAATATGCAATGATGTGTAATTTTTCTTTAAAAATGTGAAAATAAGTTCTATACCTGAAAGTATGGACAAAATGAATAACCAAAAAGCTCTTATTGTATATCTGCATTGCAAATCACCTTTTCTGTCGCAAGAAATAAATATCATAATTGGGCAAGTGATGAATTTTATGGTACAAGTGATGACGTATTATATTTTACGGTACTAATGATTTCGTCATCACACATTCAGCCAATCGCAGTGAGACATTCGTGGGATGGTAGAAGTATTTCAAGTACCCGAGACATTATAAGACAGTGGTTTTGCAAAATTAAGTTTGATTCTTTTATAAATGTATAGTGATGTGACAAAAAACTACTGTTGCTACAAATGGCACTGACTTTCCCCTATTAGTTTTCTATTTTCTTTGGTCTCAGCAAGCTATTCGGACTTGACACATACTCTTTCCATCTGCCACCTATCGCAGCCAAAAATTGAATTTCTTTTTAAATATTCTTAATTTTTTCGACTTTTGAACAGTAGAAAATAACAGTAGTTATATTTGAAAGTATGTGGGGTTTCCATGTTATGTGAAAAAGTAAGAAACAGAAGATTGCTTATTGGAACTTTTATTGTAAAGCAATGAGCTACAAAAATCTCTCTGGATTAGAGCCTTTAATATTTTGAAAGTATTAGAAGGCTTCTCCCACAGGTTTCACAATAATTTCGTGGATCTGTAAAAAATAAAAAATAAAATATAAGAAAAATGCATACAAACCAGACCGAGTAGAAATATTAGGAAACTGATTTAAATCATAATTCAAATGACGTTAATGTGATAATGTGACGTGGTAATCACAAGAAGATAAAAAACAAAGGAATGTCCGCCAATGACAAGCAGTTATCACAATTCTGACAGTACTCGCGATGTCGTTACACAAATTTATTTTATCATGTTTCTACATGTTGAAGGATGAACAAGTTTAGATGGACTGGTCTATCCACGTTGCAACCGACATAAAACCATGGTCACTTGTGTAATGAATTGTGTAATATGTGGTGCAACTTGAAGAGGTCTCAAACTTGATTCAAAACCTGGTTTAATATACATCTAGAAATACTATAAACTATAATTTATTTTACTATTATTTCTCGTCTTAATTTTGTTCATCAATATTTATAAATTATTAAAACAAGACGTAGATGGTAAATTAAAAAATTAATAAAACTGTAACATTCAAAAATGGATGGGCAATTGTAACAATGACTGCAGAATTTTAAAATAAGCCTATCTATACATGTGAAGTCAAGTTCCTTAATCGGAGGTCGCACTTGTTCCTTGTTAGCGTGCAATTGTGTGTGTGTGTGTGTGTATGTGTGTCCACCCTGATGCGGATGCGCGTTGATGAGTAGAAGACGGCATGTGTGATGTCCTTAGTGTGAAAGTGCAGGTGTGTGTGTGTGTGTGTGTGTGAGGGAGTGTGTGCTCAACCCTGCGGGGCCGCTATGGGCAGAGCGGAAACCGTCTGCCATGTCCTGAGGGTGCAAGTGCAGGAGGGATGAGTGCGTGCATGTGTGTGTGTGTGTGAGAGAGAGAGTATGTGAGAGGTCACGTGGATGTGTAGGGTCACGCTGAGGGAGTAGGCTGCTATGTC